CATGAAAACTGTGCATTTCAGGCAGGGAATGGAATCCACCCCGGCAAGTAAAAGGTCACCAGACTGGTCCTCCTTGGAGGTTCCTGCTGCAACAGGAAGTATCAGGGTACCTGGCCCGGGAGAAAGGGGTTTTCCCCCTCCCTCTCCTGGATTGCAGAACCCAGGAAGCCCTCGACGGGCGCTCCGAAGAAGAACGAAGAGGGAGGGAGCGTTCCTAGAAGGAATGGCCGAGGCGGCTAGGGAACTTTTGAGCAACGGGGGAAGAGGGAGAGGGAGGGGGGACCTGTATTCCCCCCAAGCCCTGAACCAGGGCAGGTAAGCCATGTGCAAATGGACTTACACAGAAACGTGGGGTGAATGCTGGCTCTAAGCTCTGGAGTATGGACTGGCAACTTCCATTTCACTGTATCTGAGGAAGTATCCTTGCACACAAAAACTCTGTTGGTCTTAAAGATGCTGCTGGACTCGAGTATTCATCTGTGCCCCTGTCTGAGAGATCCAAAGCAGCTTATCGCCTTGTCCCCTCCTCCCTCCCTTTTTATCCTTGCAACAACAAACCTGTGAGGCCGGCTCCGCTGAGAGGAGTGTAGGGCCCTAAGCTAATGAAAAGCCTCTTTCAAAACTGACCTTGACGTTTTATTTCATGTACAGTCCGCCTTTCTCTGGGATACTCCAGGCGGATTACAACTGGAAACAAGGATGATCCATAGGAAAAGGGGGACGGATCCAGAGGCCATCCCCGGCTGGGACCTCCTGCCGAAATTTGTCAACACGAAGGGGCTCCCCATAGAGGGCCCCCACACACAAAGAGGGGGTCCCCACAGAGGGGTCCCCCCACCCGCCCCCAGCTGAAGCCAAAGCCCGCCTCTTCGGAATGTGCTTCGGAGCGCCGGCTGCAATGCGGCCCGGTTCTTCAGCCCCCACCGGATCCGATCCTCCGCCCCCCCCCAAATCTGGAGCAGAAGCGAGTCCCTGGGTGGTCCGGCGGGATGCCGCTCAGTTCCTCTCGCCCAGGATCTGAGATCGGCTCTCGGGATGCCAAGAATTTGGTTCTCTCTCTCTCTCTCCAAAGTTGCTCGGAAGTGGGGGATTTGGAAACACAGGAGTGAGATCAGATAAGAGCATTCTTCAGGGCTGAAATCATGCCGCGGCGTGCAGGGGGGAATAAGGCTGTCGCGGAGGGAATCGTGTCTCGTAACCACAGGAGCAGGATAGACGGTTAGAAGTGAACTACCGAGAGAGAGAGAGAGAGAGAGAGAGACCAGGGGTTTCTTTAGTTGTCCCAGAAATCGCGAAGCCACCTCGGCTGAGCCGCCCTAAACTTTTCCTGTCGCTCAGGGAGCGAAGACTCTCGGCGAGTAACTGAGCGAAGGGGGCCCAGACGATGACGGGCTGGCTCACGGCTCAGGCATTCGTGTAGGTGCGCCGCCACTGGCCCAGTGCCGAGAAGAGTCGGAGGCCGGCGCGACTCCCCTTCTCACCCCTATTTGCTAGAGGGAAGCTCGCGGCAACGAGAGAGCGGCGGGCCGGAGGCTCCCGGGCAGGCGGCGCGTTCCACGGGGGGAGTCACGTGATCCCGGGGCCCATTCACGGCGCGCTCTGTGGAGGGCGGGATGAGTCAAGCCTCCCTTTAAGGGCAACCAGGGCTCCCGCCCGCCCGCCCGCCCGCCCGCCCTGCGCCCTCAGCCGCGGCTCACCCAGCTTGCACTCGCCGTCGTGCCTCCCGGGTGCGGATTACTGGGCAGGGGAAAAAATAAACCTTCCCCCCCTCTCAGTGCTGCGACTGTCTTGGCTGCGGGAGAGAGGGAGGAAAGACGCGCTGAATTTGGGGAGCGACTGTGGAAAAGACCCGTTTCGTCTTGGTCCGGCTGTTCTCCGAGAAGGCAAGGAGGAAGCGAGGAAAAGGTGATGTACTGCGAGGCTGCGGGGGGCAGGAGAAACCCCTTCCCCACGCGATATCTATCTGTCTGCCACTACCCTCTGTCGAGCTGTCATCCCTCTGTCCTTCGTAAAGCTGTACACGTTTTCTTTTTAAGTTCAGTGGGGGGGGAGTTCATATATTGGGGCGGGGGGGAGTGTTGTTGCTTTGAGAGGGGTGTTTTTTCGTCGTCGTCGTTGTTGTTGTTTTGAGAGGGGTGCTGTTTTTCTTTGGGACAGGAACAGTGTTCCCTCCAAGCTGAGTCAGTGTGAGTTAGCTCACAGTTTTTAAGCCTCCGGCTCACAGATTTTTGTCTTGGCTCAGGAAGGAGGGCTCCAGAACACACTAATTGATGCAGTAGCCAAATCACCTGCTCACAACTTTAATGCCAGGAGCTCACAAAGTAGAATTTTTGCTCACAGGACTCTACAGCTTAGAGGGAACATTGGACAGGAACATCCCAAATGATGATATAGGACTCCAGCCCCTTCCACAGGTTAGGGCGCATGCAGGCATTACCTGTATATAGCTCGGCAGGACTGCTTGTGAGAGAGACCCAGCCCCTGTTGCCCTTCCCAGAGGAACTGGGGACCAGTATCTGGGTCGAGGAGGGGTTCCAGTCGCACTCTCCAGCCGTGCGCGCATGAAGCGTGGCCTGACCCTGACTCGCTGCCCGTGGGAAGAAAGACCAAGCGGGTCGCAGGTGCGCTGGCTGTGGCTTGGGAAGGGGGCGGGGGCTTCCGTCGGTCCGGGATCTGGACCTCGTCCACGAGCGACACCGGCCACTCGGAGCAGGCTTAACTGGCCCATCCTGAAGCGCTGCCGAGAGCGCCGGGGCGTAAAAGGCGTCAACGGGCTGAGCCAGGAGGAACTCGGCGGGGGATCGCGCTCCGACGCACCCTTACTCTAGAGTCACCCCCCCCCCGCGGAACACAGTAGGGCTTCTCCGCCTCCGAGGAGACACCGGGCTTGACCCAGGGCAGCTGCGACCCCCCTCTGCCCCCGAAGCCATTGTCTGATCCTCGCCCGCCCTCACTCCTCCTGGACGGGCGTCCAGCCAGGTTCCAAGGCTCCCAGAAAGGGGGGGGATTCCCTCCCCTCCCCCCAGTGACGTGTTCCGCAGCACCCCGTTACCCCCTTGGCCTTCAGCGGAAGGGCTTTCCCACCTTGTCCAGTCTCCAAATGCTACTAGGAGCCGAGGCTTAAACGAAGCCAGCAGCAGCACCTTTCCGGTCTAGATTCAGGTGGGGCAGCAGCCGTGTTGCTCTGAAGCCGCAGAGGAGAGTTCGAGTCCGGGGCGGGGGGGGGGCACCCTGAAGACCAACAAAAAACCCGGGAGACCCAGAATGAAACGCGGCTGGTCCTCAAGGGGGCCCCTCTCTGGACCCAAGCCTCGCCCCGCTGTCCTGGGTGCCGCCGCCTCAGCGTAGGCAAGGGGGTGGGTCTGGATGGCCCGGGCGGGCCCCGTCTCCCCAGCTCTCCCAAGCGAAGCGGGGTCGGCGGCCCTCGTCAGTGCCTGAGTGGGAGACCACCGAGGAAGGCCACCCCCCTGCCGCGACTTGGAGGGGGCGAGACGCCTGGCTCCTTCTCTCGCCCACGAAACAACCGGATGATCCCGCATTTCCCGCGGGCTTCGTTCGCGAGGACTTCCCGCTGGGGCTGGAGCCCTCCCCGCCCCGCGCCCCCTTCCTCCGGGGACTCTGCCTCCCGGCTCCGAGGCGATGACCCGCCGGGATCTGGGCGGGGCGAATGAAGCCGGCCGGGGTGGGGTGGGGTGGGGGGCCGTCTGTCTTTGGCTGCTGTCCCGAAGCAACCCTGCCGAGTTCGGCGGCGAGCGCGGGTTGCAGGCCGGCCAGACGGGGCGCCTCGCACCTCTGGGACCGGCGGGGGGAAGCAGATCGCGAGATCGGGACACTCTCCCGTCAAATAAACTCCGTGATTTCCACACACACACACACACACACACACACACACACACACACCGGAACTTTAAAACTA